TTGGGGAAATGTGTTAATGTATATTTTGGACTATTATTTTAAATGGCTCGTAGATTTAACTTGTTATTAGCGTTTGATTGTTCTGAATTTATAAAAATAAAGTCAATTTTGTTTCTTTCAAGACCTAGTTTCTACTTCTTACTTGAGTTTGTTTGTTTTTTCCAGGTAAGGGTTTAATGGAAAATCCACCAACAGATACACCTTCTCCTATTCTAAAGCGAAATTCAGCTGATATGGGAAGGATTTACAGAGTTTTGTGTGATCCTAGAAGTCCAGACAAAGTGAAATGCACGTTGTGTGGGAAAGAGTTCTCTGGTGGTGTTTACAGAATGAAGGAACWCATAGCTCATATGAAGGGAAATGTCTCTTCTTGTCCACGTTCAACTAAAGAGGATCAAGAGAYGTGTAAGAAGGCAATTCTTGAAGCAAAAAACAAGAAAGGTCTGAAGAGGAAACATGAGGAAGATATGAGGGCAGAGGTTAATATAAGTAAAGACAGCATCATTGAGCAYCTGGAAAGAGAACTTGGAACTCTTAAAACTCCTCACTTCCAAGGTCCGATTGATCAATTTGCCACCATCATTAACCCTGAAGCTTCGTTGGCTGCACAAAAACGGCAACAGAATATCCATGATGCTATTTGGAAGGGGAAGACACATGCTGTACACCAATATTGTGCTCGATGGATCTACTAGTCAAATATTGCATTCAACGCAATTGACAATGAACCTTTTAGGTTATTCTGTGAAGCATTGGGTCAGTTTGGGCCTGGTTGGATGCCTCCAACTCAGTATCAGTTGAGAGAACCATTGTTAAATGAAGAAGAAAAAAGGACAAAGGAAAAGTTGAAGAGTCTAGAAGAAGAATGGGACAAAGATGGCTGCTCCGTGATGACAGATGCGTGGACTGACATGAAAGAAGAAGCATCATGAATTTGTGTGTTAATTCAAGAGGAGGTACATGCTTTCTTTCTTCAAAGGATGCTTCTAAGGATTCTCACACGGGTGAGTATATCTTCAACTACATTGACAAGTGCATTGAAGATTTAGGGGCAGAGAAGATTGTGCAAGTGGTGACAGATAATGCTACCAATAACGTATCAGCTGCAAGATTGCTTAAACAAAAGAGACCGAGAATCTTTTGGTCTGGATGTGCTGCTCACACTGTGGACTTGATGCTTGAGGGAATTTCGAAGTTGCCTGCTTTTGCTAAAATCATAGATCAAGCAAAGGCAGTCACCATCTTTATATATGCTCATCATAAAACATTATCCATGATGAGAACATATACTATGAAGAAGGATATAGTGAGACCAGGAGCAACAAGGTTTGCAACTTGCTTCTTGACACTTCATAGTCTTTATGAGAAGAAGGCACAACTGAAAAACATGTTTGGCAGTGATGAGTGGCATGGTTGTAACCATTCCAAGTGTGTGAAAGGTCGGAATGCGTTTGATATTGTTATGAGTTATGCATTTTGGACTAGTGTGATGGTTGTTTTGAAAATGTTCAACCCTTTAGTGAAGGTTCTAAGACTGGCCGATGGAGAGAAGATACCGTCTCTTGGGTTTATCTATGGTGAGATTTTAGAAGCTAAGAAGACTATCAAGGAAGCTTTTGACAATTTGGAGCGTAGTTATCAACCTGTCTTTCAGATTATTGATGAGAAAATGAAAGGTAGGTTGGATTCTCCTTTGCATATAGCTGCCTACTTCCTCAATCCTTTCTACTACTACAAAGATTCGAGGATATATGACGTTGAGGTCATGCAAGCATTCACTGTTTGTGTAGAGACATTCTATCATGGTGACTTCAAAAAACAAAGTTTAGTCGTGAATGATGAAGTCCATCACTACATAAACAAAACTGATACTTTTGGCATAGCCTTAGCATTAAAAGGATGTGAAAAGAAGGATGAAACATTCGATCCAGGTATATTTTCTCACTTTAATTGTCTTTATTTGATCTTTAGGTATAAGTTTAGCATATGATATATTTTTCACTTGCTTAATCATAGGGAATTGGTGGTCAACCTACGGATGTGGTGTACCAATTTTACAAAAATTAACAACTAGAATCCTTGCTTTGACCTCTAGTTCTTCTGGTTGTGAAAGAAATTGGAGCAGCTTTGAAGGGGTTAGTTTATTACTTCTCTAACTTTTGTTTTGTGCCTCTTACACTGAATACACTTAAATGAATCTTTTGTT